CAAAATCTGCTACGAGCGAAGAGAAAAAGGAGCATAATTATATCAAACAGTCATCCCGTCTGTCGATCGATAGATTTCGTCATGCTGCACCTAGTACGAATGCGGCCAGTGGGGGTAAAGTGACCTACTTCAGGGCGAAATGTCGCCCCAGTGAATAATCTCCAAACTAGCTGCTACCCCCACTTATCTCAAGGGCCGCAAAAATATAGAGATTTGTTAGAAAGAAATAGTCAGAGCTGAACGAAACTGTGTTATCATCACTCGCTGGAAGAGAAACTGTCTCCATCCCAAGGAATTGTCGAACCACCTCAATGATTTCTTGTCAGGGAAAAGTTACACGTATGTTATTAGGAGGAACTTAAGAGCACAGTTTATGATAGTTTCGAGATAACTATATCAAGACAATTAATGGAAGTGAATGTGAGAAGGGGTGCATCAGTGGAGGAGAAAGGGCGGAGAATGAAAAAAAAAATAAAGCTTCGAAGAAGTAGTTAAGATAGGGAATTGTCCGAGATTATGACGGCGGGAGTGGTATTTGGACGAGGTTCAATCGTGTGCAGTTGCGCAAAGGTCTGGCCACAGAAGGCCAAAATTGTCCAAATGCCTTCCACTGTTGCGTGTGTAGGGATTGCATGTCAGACTCATCAATTCTAATGGTATTATAATATGATTATTCTTGTTATTTTTATAGTCATATGACGTACAGCAATGCCCTCGGATCAGCTTTTAGGATTTTCAACATTAGCGCACCAATGCAAATGGCGCGGACTTTACAAGACCATTAGAACAAGTCCACTATTGGAAAGGATAGCCTAGCCGCTTTGGATCCCTTATTCCAGTTTCTTGACCCCTTGACGGAAAATATGGCACCCTTAGGAGTAATGGTCCACCCTAGCGCGAAATGTGAGTCTCATTTTCAGAAAATTCTTTCTATCGTGAGGTATGCCTTTGATTGGCACTATGACGTAAATCTAGTCGAGTTTTTCTTTGGATAACATCAAACAAGCAGGTGCTCCCGATACTAAAAAAAAGAAAACAAGAATGAATGAGAGAAGCACATGAGGCGCGGCGAATTGAGAGAATAGTTGTATTGAATAGAGTAGCGCACGTAAAATAACACCTCGTCTTGATCATCCTCATTAGGAAATGATCTCAGAATGAGGAACCAAAATGAATACGCCAAGCTTTTTCCTAAAACTTTGAAAGGGTAAGTTGCGTTTGCCGATTACCTGAGGAGATTGATGTGCTGCGAAGGCATTTTGACCTGTTGCTCGGAAGCTTGATGCGAAGTCCATGTAAAGATAGTCCTACGTCGGCGGATGTAATAGCCCAAATCCTACCCTGAAAGTAAACATCTTTAAATTTAGGGGAATCTCGGTCATTAGGAGTTCGTTCAATACGCACATACATGGATTTTGAACTTATTATAAGAACTGATAAAGCTCGAAGATATTCCCAATGGAGCAAGCTACAAAAATTAAGAAGTTCGCATAATAAAATTCATAATCTGGCCCCACAATTATCGTCACGTATAAATACCCCATCTAACGTTCTGCAATTGCGATCAGAATGCACGTACAGTAATCGAACGCTTAGATCCCTTCTTTTCTGCGATAATGGGGTGCGACCAAGGTCTTTCTCTCCTTCTAGAAACGCCTTTATGAATGTCTTCACTGTTATTTTGCTACCATAATAACTTTGTGTGCTCATCATATTTCTTTGCCCTCACAGCATTTCCGGAAAAGTTCGCTACTGTATCAAGGCTGTAAAGTCAAGCTTTTCCTCAGGTAGGAAACCGCCTCCCCACAACGAACCCACTGTATGGTTAAATCTGGGAGAGACCGTTCTAAAAAACATATCAGCGGGTCCAAACCGCCCATCCAGACCTCTTGGACGGACACTATTTCATCAATCTCAGAACAACCTGATGGGGCCCGCACGCTAATGTCAGTACGAGAGTAACTGAAGTTGCACTTCACTGGAATGAATCGCCAACCATGAGGCAGAACTTTTTGTCCGCTCCCGTCGTACACTTCAAGATGAGCTCAATGTTTTTCTAGTCTTTTCAAACTTTCGCCATGTGTTTTCGCCACGTGTTTTACAGAGAATGAGGACAATGAAGTCTCGGATGAACAGCCCTTTCGACATTAGATATACATCAGCTTCAGTACTCGGGGATGATCCAGTACATATAAGACTCATCCTAATACTTTGTAGGGGGAGCGGAGGTTGCCAGTTCTCAAACCTTCACAAACTCAGAAAAACTGGTATTCTTTGGAGACAGGAAACCTTGCAGACTTCTCTATTGGTTCTGATTGTACGTGAACTTGCGATGTCTACCTTTTTTTGATTGTCATTTTAATATGAACAACAAAAGATGAACGAGCCCAATAAAATGAAAAGGTAGTGGGATTTTTTCAGGTTTGTTCATCCATGGGTGATACAGTGAGGTATATCCCTGTGACTTGACATTTTCTCAACAGCCTCATATTAACGAATACCGTTTTTAGGGCAACCTAGAACCATTAGGGCAACTTGTTCGCAAGTGAACCACAACAGTTTGTGCAATAACGAGTTAGTGCGTGATCAGGTGTAATGCAACAGAAACCGAATCTGACCGCGAAATGTCGGAACCAGTTTAAGCAGCATAAGCAGATAGCATTACCGGATTTGCTTGAAAAACAACACAGAAAAGCTTGAACTACACTATATCAAGCTTAACATGCTCCTAAGTCACTAAGGTTTTTGTACAGAGTATAACCCTCTCACGTCAATAACGGAGTCTAATACAGCAATAGGACTTGAAGGCCCTACTAGTCTCTATTAGCTAACATGACTATTGCTGTAATATGTGACTTTTCCCAGGCGCCAAAACAGGCCTGTGCTTTAAATCAAGCCCCTGATAGAGTTAGTAGCTCAAAGAGAACATGAACTGAAGTGCCTTCGTCTGCTGTTCATGAGGGCAACATTTTACCGATATCGAATATCGAATCTGATACTGACGAATTCTACCCTTCTCAAGCTTGGCTGGTGTTCATCCGATTAACATGAGTAATTGCAGTATCATGCAGTATTGTCGCTGGAAGCGCCCCACTTCACTGCCGAATCTCTCCTAGGCCGACTCTGGCTGCGAATCCTTCTACTGTTACTTACGAAAATACTGTGTTAGAATAACCTACTTTAGTAATTAACGGCCAGACGACTTACTGAAAAATCCAAACCTTACATCATTCTCGTAAACGCCTGCAATAAAAAATCGAATGACGTAGTACATCCGGAGAAGAATGGGGGCCTCCCTGCTTACAATCCATCGGCGGGAGAAACTTTGAAACGTGAACAGATAACCCTCAAGGGGAATGGATAAGGTATAGACATGCTATACATTATCAGATTATGCGTTGGTTTATGTGGGGCTGTGATATCGGGTCATTGCTGGCTGTTTGATTTGTAGAAATGAAGAGCTCTTTCTAGCTTTTCACCACTACGGCACCTCCTGACATATAGCCCTTCCCATAGCCGATTATTTGTTCCCTTTCTCGAACAATTTGAAGTCTAACCTATCTCATAGTCAATTCTCTCAGCCCAGGCTACCAGGCTACATTACTCTCTAACCTTTCTGAAAGTGAAAAATTATTAGTGAAGTGGATAAGGAGTCTGAGGAACTGTGGCTTTACCACAAAGAAGGACCAAGAAAGCGAAAAATTTCTACAGCTCTACGTTTGGCGTTACTAGACAATTCAAATAAATTCCACAATTTTTCAACCGAACTCAAAGAAACAAATTAATCAGTTGACATACAAGCTCGAACTCAGTGAGAAAGTTCTCCATCAGAAATTTAGAGAACAAATTGGAAAACAAGACAATAGTTAACTTAAAAGATGGTGCGAGCAAAACACTAAAGAGACCATAAGCTAAGCGATTTGTCTGAGTGAGTGTCAAAAAAGTCATTTAAACCTTATTATAACACATTTGGGATGTTATAATCTTTCTTTTACAGAACTTGCATCAAAAGCAAACAATCAATTCCTTGGTTGCTCCGCCCACTTCGCAAGGGCCGCATGGATTTTGCATCACGCGGCGCGACCCAGAAATCTTTTCAAAATTGACGCCCCGCGTCACCGCGCGTGGTTTACTACTGCGCTTTTTTCTGGTTGTTTACGAATCCTTTGGCTTGGGCGCTGAGCTTCCCAACTTTGGTTTAAGCGTTGCTGGTATTTTGTTTGTCTTGCTATCTTTAAGCGTTTTTGGACCGTCGGAGATGTATGTTACGGCCCAACTCCAGTGAAATCGCCGTTTTCTTATATCTTTTAAGTGTTTGTCCATTTGATGCTATAGAAAGAGCAAGCCCATGTTTGCGATGTTTCTGTTAGTCATAACAGGAAAGTATTTTGTTATCATTGCTACTAGCTTCCCGTTCTTGTTTGTTTGTTATGTTTTTTTAGATTTCCTTTTGTATTGCTTCATTTCATCTTACTTGTATAAACTTTTGATCGGTCACTTTGACTAATCTGAACTGAATAAGTTTTTTTTAAGTGGTTGCAACTATTGAACAAATCGAGACAGGCTATCTTGTTTAATAGTGACCGTTCTTTTGTGCTAATCATTATCTAAATTTTTTCCATTTCTACCTCGGATTCCTCTTGATTAGGTTCTCATTTTCTCCTTAATTAGTCCATATATGGGAAAGTAATTTCTTGAAAAACTTGCTGACTAATGATTGTAGCAAGCGTTAACATTTTCCCGACGCCTATTGCTCTTGCTTGTTTTATATTATGGGGTTGAGTTTTTTTTTTCGAAACACTACCACGATAGCTTTGATCTTCATACAAGTGGAGCTTTTCTCGTTGTTTTTATTGCTCTTCTTCTAGCATATCTTTACTATGTTGGATTTCTTGTGTTGTTTTAGACTCCGTGGTGGTTTTGTTATGAGGAGTTTGGAAACAACAGACGAACTGATGCCGGCTAACCATAAAGATATGGTAAGTGTTTCAAACCAGTTAATAGGTTCTGGAATTTGACAAAAAATGTTTTCTCTAATAAATATAGCCATTCCTTAATTTCAGCTCCCCGAATGTGAGTCACCTAGCAATACAGAGTCGGACAGAGATCCAAATACTGACGAACTGCCATCCAAACCAGCAGAAGGTGATAATGGTTAGTATTGACAAATTCTTTTTGCTGCTTTTCGAATGGGATCATTTGGTTGAACAACTGAAATCGTTTTGGAAGTGCGACGGAAAGAAATTCATTAGCATTTGCCTAGTAGGCTGCCCAAAAATGCAAGGCATCATAACGGTGATTCTCGAAAGTTCCCTTTTATGTTGACACTGCAATTTTCCATCCATAAAAATACGATTGATATGTGTTGCCATTTTCTTTTCTTTTCGTCCTGTTTCATACCTTTGCTTGACCAGTAGGTAGGACCAGAGACAGTGTTGTAAATTAGAGATAAAGCCTAAAGAGTCTTCTTACAACAGAAGTTTGCGGTTATTCTTATCAAAACTGTGGATGGGTGAGGTAGTTGCCCCTGGATCCGCAAGTTTTTGAGCGTGGCTCTCAGAAGGAAATCTCAGAAGTGGCAGCAGTATAATGAAAAAGGCGCTTTCTACTTTTCCTTTCGAGCCTCAGATTTCTGAATTTTCAAATTTCCTAGAAAGAGTTCATTATGGAAATGTTGTTTGTACTTATTAGTAAAGTAGGACTATTGATGTCAGCATTATTACTCGTGAAGTCAATGTGTGTACTATGTAAAGGTAATATATCATACTAATGTGGCATACCTGAGCGGGTCCACTATAGGGTCTCCTTTGTCTTCAATTTTTTTATTCCTCGCCTAATTAGAAAGGTTAATCTAGCCAGTTGGTGATGCTCGAGAGAAAGTGGGGTTGTAGTGTTAATGCAAAGTGCAAGTATCTGATTAGTTTCAGTGATAGTTTGTTTTCTATTTCTACCGAATATATGTTTCCATTATCATTGCATCAGTACTATGCAGATGCACAGAATTCTTCGTTTTAATGGGTCAAGTCATTTCGCTGCACCGTTATATTTTGCTCCGCAGATCTATCTCTCTGTTTAAAAATGACAACCCTCTTGAACGTCTTTATGGAACAACTTGATAGACACTCATTCATCTTTTGAAGGTATGGTCTTCCGGTTTCCCATGGTTTTAGTTCTGCGAATTTGGTCTGAGCTATTGAGAAATCCATCTGCCGTCCAATAATTTCATAATCCTTCCGCAGCATTCATTGTACTGCCAGAGGGTGCGTGTTTTCCCTTAGAGATATCTCAGTTATATCAGCAGATAGTGTTTCTTGCCAGCTGCTAGGGCACGGGTAGACTATGTTCCTTGATGTTGTTCGAAATTTCATATCCAATTCCATAAAGTGGTGTCATTACTGCGGTAATGCTGCACCACTTTCATAGTCCCACTGATCGACAGCATTTGTTGGGTCTACATCTCAAATTAGTGTGAATAACGAACGGAAAGGTTTTCACAAAAGGGCAAAATAGATAGAAACTTATTTCATTTTCAGATCAAAAAGAGACGATCGCTGGCCAAACACCAAGTCAGTTTCAATTACGTATTTACCCAGTGAAATGTATATTGATGTGAAAGTTCTGGGTGCATTTTAACGCACATGTACATTGAAATATTCATAGGATCAAAATCCTCTTACTCATGTTGTGTGGTTTTTTAACTCAGAGGAGGCACGAGCCTATTACGCAAATGTTTGACCTTCCACTATCAGTTTCATGTCAAGTGTCAGTGTTTTTATGAGTTGACCAGGTTTTTTTTTGGATTAGTGACGGGACATTCGCAAAATGAATTTCATTATTTCTTATAGCTACCTTTCAAAAAAACAAAGTAATGTAAGCAAAATGGTAGTTTCCAGTGGAGAAAAACATGATTCATCCCACCAATCTTTACTCATTAATTTCTCTTTCTCTTAATCTTTATTACATCGTCACTTAAGATGCCCAGCATTTTTCGCGTTGTTTTGAGAATCGAATTCGGGCTTTGAGATCAAGTTGTGTTTCTAGAGTCTAGTGACGAGGAACCGGCTGCTGGAGAAGGTTTATCCGAGGAGGTCTACGAAGTGGAGAAGATTTTAGATCATGATGAAACAAAAGAAGGATTATTTTATCTGGTGAGGTTCCGCATGCAGTAAATTTTTGTGTTTTCATTTCTCTTTCTAGATATTAGATGGGGACAGCACTTTCCAATTAGTTGAGGGACTAACTTGCTCGTAAGAATATATGTATATCAACTTAAACTATAGTTTGGATTATGAGAAAGGCGCAGTAGAAGATGTCCATTGAAACTGTCTAGTTGCCTTTTTTAGACTCGTCTCCTTTCAGCAGTTTTTGCAGAATCTTCGCATATTTTTTACTTCTCTGTTTCACCTGCAGTTATGTTTTCTGATGACTTTATAGGTGCATTGGAAAGGTTTTACGGAAGAGGATGATTCTTGGGAGCCAGCCGAAAATCTAGTATTCGCCACCAAAGCTATTGCTGAATATGAGTCCACGAGAAAAGCGAAAAGCAAGAAGGTTATTGCATGTTTTGATTCTTCGAAGGAGGCTCTACGCAATCATGCCGCTGCAGTATAAATATGATCTGGTGTCATTCAGGGCAAAAAATCTCTTGCAAAGACGCCAAAGGGAAGGAGCGATAAGTCAAACAAAAAAGGCTCGTCTACAAAGTCGTCCTCATCTTCGTCAGTTTCAACACATTGTTTTTTATTTCTTTCAAGTCTTTTGTAGAAAACAGACCCTATCCAATGTGTTTCTCGGACCAGGCTGTAGCAGCCAGGCATCTTCCATGAGTTAATGGTACAGTTTTTATTTCTGGAGAGTTTTTACGATTTTGAATTGCGACTTGTTGCTTCGATGATGTTTTAGTGTTTCTACAGTGTACCGAAGGTTTTCAGGAGCAGGAGGCGCACTCGACAAAAGGCATCGGCTGAGAAATCGGAGTCAGAACCAGAGCCCGAGATTCCTTCCGATGACATTGAGGATGAAGATTTCACTGAAAAACCAAAGTCTTCGAAAAAGTAATACCCAATTAATGTAGCAGTTGTCATTGAATAACCCTAGTGCTTTCAGATCCTCAACACTTCCTCCGAAAGGTTCTGGCACGGTTACCAAGGCTGCACTGAAATCATACTCACCGACTACTCCCAAAGTTCGTAGGGGGTCAACATCCACGTCCACGTACGTATCACCTTCTGAAACAATGTCAGCGGCAAAAAAGGTATGTATCTGTCAATACATTGCTAAAAAAATTGTTGTTTATCAACAAAGGCTAAATAATTGTTTCTGTTCAATGCAACAGAATCTCTCACCATTTAATGACCGTACTGTCACTTGTTCTCTGTTTAAGGATTTTGAGGTGAAACCTGATCAAATGCAGGCCTTGCTTATGCGCCAGTCTTGGTTGTACGATAGTGATTCTGATGATGATTCTGGTACTGAAAAGGAAAACGAGAAGAAAATGGAACAACGTAAGCAAATCGAAGAGGAGCAGCTGAGAACTAGAGAAGAAAACCAGGAACAACAAAAACAGNTCATAGTTTCGTACATTCTTGATACCCTGAGCAAGTATCGAATCCTTAACTTAAAACTCTAAATTGAGGAGGCATTTCGGATGTACAGGAAGCTATTTGTGATCTTTACCAAGTTCATTCAAAAACACGTCATAGTTCTTAGGTTTTGGCAAAGCAGCTTGCTTTTTTTATCGACAGCTTTTTAGAATGATGTACCGGAGAGTGAGGAGGCTTCCAGCCCGACCGAGGTATCACAGATCCATCAAAATGGCGAGAAGTGTTCTTCCGTTCCTCCTGCTCCTTCTCCGTGCGGTGAATAGTTTTCCATAGCTCAACTTTGCTTATTTCATAAACCAGTGGTGCCTTAGTCGTTTCCACTCCAGTTTTGTTTACATTCGTGTCAGGGCATTTTGGTGCGCGCGGCTAAGACGACAGTTTGAACTCTGAATCGCTACAGTTTATACTAGACAACCTTCTTTGCAGACAACACTTTGGGTCGTTTGGTATTACTAGTGAGCAAAGGGGATATAGGATGTAAAATGGGTGGTATTTCAATTCCTGCAAGTACCACTCATGTTACCGTTTTCTGTTAATTTATGTCACCCTTTTATCTACTCTTGTTCTGTTCTCTAAAATAATAGGTTAGACTCGTATCTACACAAGAGTACTTTTCAGTTATTAATACAACAACAAGCTCTGCGTCAGCCCCAAGTACTTCCATCGCCGATGATACTCCGCAAGAAGAAGTGCAGATATTTGCTATAGGTAAAGTTAACGATGGGCGCATCAGAGTGGTGATTGGAAATGATCAAGCAAAAAAGGTTGTGTCATTGCGTGGTGAGTACTCTTTTGTTGTTACAAGTTTAGTTGCAGACTATTTATACATACCAAAGGTGTTGTGACGGAGAAGCCGCTCCCGTTTGGTACTGGGTTTTAATGGGAGCCGATTTTCAGTGTAAGGGTAAGCGGAAATTTTGAGGAAGCTGTTAGTTATTCCTCGTCAAAACTTTGTAGTACGTGGAAGTATTGCAATATTGCTCCCACAATATTCAATATTGCAACGACAGCGGGAGAATAGTATAGGGCGAGTAGCCAGTTTTGAAGTTTATACCTTTAACTGGTATGGCATTTTAGTTGTGTACATTGACCACTTCTACAAGTACTCATACATTCGTTCTTTCCTTTCTATTCACGTTACTTTTCGCGCAGATTGTAAGAATAGTATGAGAAGTCTACTAAAAATAGGTGTAGGAAAGGTAGAACAGTTGACGGAATAAAATCGAACTTAGCAAGGAAGCTGAATGTTCGGATGCTCATCTTATACTTTTTTTCAGACGCACATGACGCTAACTCATGGGGATTACTGCAGCATCTCCTGCAGTATGCCGTTTTCGACGATTTCGATGATTGAATTACACTTTGTTCGAAGAACCGGGACTTCTCAAGATTGTCCCCGATGTTTTCTTGTTTTGTTGATAATCTCACAGTTAGTCATCCCATAATTCTGTTTTTATTGGTGAACTCTCCATTTCAACATTTGGTCGCGGTGAACGTGCCAGTAAGATACCCATGAATTCAAATCTAATTTGATTTCGTTAGGTCATTCAAAATTTTATAACGATGCTTACTGATAGCTAAGGCACGTGAGCAGTGAAATGGGCTACCTTCATAAGGAGTTGGCGCGGACTGATTCCGTTTAAAATGCTACTGTTACTATTTTCAAAGTGCTTGAGCCCTTCCATGCTTGACTTCTCTCATGAGCTACTCTTTTTGGGTGGAAGAAGTCCGCATGATTCTGGAACTGGCCGAGCACATTGGAGAGAACTCACATATAATTAGCTGTCATCCTCTCAATTCTTTGGGGTATCACTTTTTCAAGCTTCTGGTTCCAATCTTTTCATTCACCAAACTAGAGGTTCAATTCGTTGGAAGATAGTCGGGGCTTTCGAGATTTTGTCTTGACGGAATGCTTGCTTACACTCTTGTACAAGATTCCGAGGAACTCAGTTCTCGCTGACTTTATGTAAAAATACTACGTATACACTCCATTACCTTGCCTAAATCATCGCATTGCAACTAACTCAACAGGGCAACCAATATGACAGTGACAGCCAATCCGCAAAGGTGTATTTCTGACAGAACCGTAAATACAACAGGTTTGTTTGTTACT